TTGCAATGAAGGCTCTTAGAGGCTTTCTTGTAATCAATCCAAGCATAGGTTGGTGTGTCGGGTTTTGCAGTCTTGGGCGACTGTGTGGTCTACAAGTAGTTGGTGTCTCTACTATTTATGCCGATGCCCTTCTGTGCCGTGCTCATGTATTTATCCATGTTTCCGCTTATCTTAGCCGCTATGATGCCTGACATGAGCTTCCATGTTGTAGAGAGACAGGTTATTGGCCGTTGGATGGGACTGAACCCTTTGAGGGATCCTTCTGGATCAGGATTGTGCGCCCTTCAGTTAACCATTCAGGGTGAGTCCCATTCTGTAGCAGCTGGTTCAGTTGAACTGCCAGTCGCTCATGGATCATGTCAGGCCCTGGTGCTGTCCAGTTTTTCATACCCGAGACTCTTTCTTGAACATTTGCCAAAGTGATGGTTACCGGGGCTTGTTCAGGGAGGTTGCTGTGGTCCTCTCGTAGAGAGGACCACAGCATTGCTGTTGTGTGCATTGCTGTTGTGGGACGCCTCCCTTTCCCATATGCCTTTCCAGTATTGTTCAGTCTCCAGCCTTGGTGGGTCTGCTCTGTTGTTAGTACCCTGCCATTGAGAGTACACTTTAGCTGGTTGGGTGGAGAAGAGCCGGTTAATCCTCTTGGCTTCATTCTCTCTTGTGTATCTCTAGGCGGCTGGCCAAGGCTTGGAGTCTTTGTTTGGCAGTTTCGAGTGCTTCAGGGTTCAGCCCTTAGGAGCTCTGACAGCTGGCTCACTTCCCTCCTCTAACCGTCTTTTCCATGATGGATATTGGGTCTCATGGTTGCTCTTATAGCCGAGCATTTTTATATCAGCTCATTGGTTTCTGTTATGGTGTTGGTAGGGATTGTTCTCAATGCTGCATTCACATCTTGAATGAGACTTTCTGATGGTACTTCACTCAGCCGCTGTAGTTGGCGTCGGGGTTGCCTGGTGTTCATTCGGGCCACGATTCTCTCTCTCAGGTCAGTTGCTGTCTCGTTCAGCTTTGATGGTTCGTTCATTACTGACTACAGAAATAGCTAAAATATAAAAAGTGTTAATGTAATAAAGGTGAGGGTGCTTCATCTATACAGTTTAGTAGAACAATTTCACACAGATTTTGAGTTAATGGCACACGATTTGGAAGCTACTGAAGAAAACATTTCATATTTAAATTATTTAAAATATTGAATATGACTTAAAATTTTAATAGAGTATAGTGGGCCTCTTGTGATAACATGAATGACCACATTTTTGTATCAGTTGGTCACAAGACAAGGCATTTATTTACAGGAGTGTTCGGAAATTGACGGTCCCTATGTGAAACTCCGAGCGCTTGAGGAGGGACCAGTAAAGAACAGCTGGCCGAAATTAGCGTTCATAAATCGGACCAACCTTGAGCTGAACGTCCCTTACTCCGCAGAGCGCGAATATCCAGTATCCAACTTGAAAACAACTTCACTGCGGTCGGTAACACAATGTAAACACCGGTGTTCTGACTAGTTTGTTTTGGTCTGTGGCCAACAAAGATGGCGCCGAGCGACGTAAACGTCACATGCAATGACGTAGGTTCCAAAGCTCTATAGCAGGACGTTACTGGATGACCAGGACGTATTTAACTCATCAGAGATTTATCCTGAGACCTGGAAAGGCTTTTGGATTTAGTTGTGGTGGTACCACTGGGCCTCTGGAACCTGAAAACAGTAGTGGAGCTCAGAACGTTCAGCCTATCTAGGAAAGCAGCTCTACGTTTCAGCAGTTCACAGACCCTCTAACTCAGAGTTTCTCCACCCTGGTCCTCAGGCCCCCTGTCCTGCATGTTTCAGGTGTTTCCCTTCTGCCACCTGGATTGTATCTCTGGGTGATTAGCAGGATCTGCAGCTCCTGATGGTCCTGCAGTCATTTGAATCAGCTGTTCTGGAATAATGGCTCATCTAAAACATGCAGAGCAGGGGGTTGAGGACCAGGGTGGAGAAACACTGAGCTAGGTCATCGGATCAGCACCTTAGTGATAAAAGCTTGAGCAGCACACAGGCCGCACCGTGTCTGGGTTCTGACCTGGTGACGTCCAGAGCCTTCTGGACCTTAGCCTGGACTGAGCCCAGCAGGTCGGCGCCCATCTTCTTCAGCAGCTGAGTGAGCAGGACAAAGAGCCAGTCCTGCAGGTCGTCCTTGTGCACCGTGACAAAGTCCACCAGCGTCTCCAGGAACATGCTGAACACCTGGGAGCAAAGGCAGGTTCTGGTCAGACTGGCTCTCCATCCGACAGGGAGGACACGGACTAAAGGAGCAAACACTCACTCTCTGGAGTTAGAGCCACAGCAAGGCGGGCCGTGCAGCAGAACACACACAGTTAGATCCAGAAACATCTCCAGTTGAAGACCATGCATCTATCTGAGGGTCTCTACCTTACTGTGGGGGTCTGCAAACATCCTGGTGAAGATCTCACAGAGTCTCTTTAGCTCCACCCGGCTGCAGAGACAACAAACAGCCGGTTAGAACCCAACAGAACCCAACCCAACATGCATGTCAGGTTATGTCAACATGGTAATGGACTAAACAGTCAAAATGACTGTTTTCCCAGTCATTTTGACACCTCAAAGCGCTTTACACTAGAGTCACACTCACACATTCATACACCAATATGCAGATCGGTAGACAGTTTGATTTGCCCATTGACATGTGGCAGGAGGAAGCTGGAATCGAACCTACAACCTTCTGATCACAACACTACTCTACCCACACAGCCACAGTCGCTCTGTGGGAGGAGTACAGTCACCAGTGTTGTAGTACTCGAGATCGGTCTTGGTCTCGAGACCATTTTTTTGATGGTCTCGTTCTCGTCTCGGACTCTGAGGACTCGGCATTTTATTTCAAGACCAGTCGAGACCGCAACTGTGAAAATATCACTAAACGTACAGCATACTGTCCAGTTTATTTGTTAACATCTTTGTTTTCAGTGGATGCAAAACGCACCTATTAAAATCCAACCAATAACGTGTTTCTGTTACTCCCCCCTCCCCTCCCCTCCTTTCACTCGCACGCAGATCGGAAGAGCGTC